GTATGTTTTTTGCTTGCTTGCAAATTAGCAGTGATGGTTTATATTCGCTAATATACTGTTCACATTTTGTTATGTAAGGCTTATTTAGTACGAATTATTTATTCGATATTCTCGATAAATAGTGAATTAGAACATTATCTAAGTAAATGGGAAGATTATAAAAGGTTATATCAAAACAATGGTTTTGTAAATTTAAGGATAGATTATTATAAAGTTACTAGCTGTTCCCGTTCGGCTCTATCCGCATGAAATTATAAAAACTTTATTTTTTGTTTACATTTGTGAAATTCCCAACTACAAATTTCAAAATTACTGTAACTATTATAACCTTTCTTCCTTAATGTTGGCAGCTTGTAGTTTATGGTCCCTTTCCCACATGGAGATTTTTCTAATTTATTTACCCCTTAAGTTTAATAGCGGGAAGATATAGCCTAAAGCGTGTCGAAGGTGTAGGGTATTTTATTAATGAAATAAATATTCAAAAACGTGCTATGATTGCTGACATCCTACGCCACGAAGTATGTGTGTTTACGCTTAATTATATCAGTATAGATTAAAGAAGATATGCTCACTTTGTAATACTGTAGCTAAATATATCAATGATTCATAAAATCTTCATAACAAACGGATCTTTGTGTAGCGTATGAAATTACAAAAGCATTGAGGTATTCGCTAATAGTATGATGAAAGTACACATATAAGATATGCGGTTTGCCCGAGATCAAGGGTGACGCTACTACGAAACAATAATACACTCGAATCTCACTTGACTAGTTATAGTAACATGCGAAACTTAGATTTGTTTTAACACTATACTATGATTAAAATATAATGTTTAATTTGTATTTTAATTTGACATATTCAAAGACTTATCTTAAAGTATTCTTACGCAAAAACGTATTAAAAAAAACTTTATTGGACCTAAACAAAGCGTCCTAAACTTAAGGACGCTTACATTTATTTGACTAAATTCTAGCAATTTTAATTAGTCATATTAGTTACACGTTGGTAGGTGATAATTTTACAAAATATCTCAGTAAGGGCCTGTCCCACCAAATTGTGAATTGCCTGATAACAATCCAACGTGTAAAACATGTGATAAAAATATCAGATTTTGTTACTTTGTCTGACAGTGACGTCATTTTTAAGCTATCTGAGTCTATCAGCCAGTAGTGGGAAAGGCCCTAAGTCTTCTAAACAATCTATAAATTATTTACTCTTATTTTACTACGAATTTTCTCTTTAACAATTTAATAGAGAAATTGTAAAGAGCGGATGGCACGGTAGGAGCCGTGGCAAACCGCGCGGTATTCAATTGTAGGAAACCGCAAATACCTTAGATCCGTTGCTTTCGATATATCGACATCAGCCCGCTACGCTAAGAAAGTAGGCTAGTGATTCACTGTTCCGTCTGATAACGCGGCTCGTGCTGTCTACGCCTGGGATAACGCCTTTATCAAATGGTAAAAGTGAAAACTATATCAAAGTAGCTTTATAACATTATCATGTACTAGTTTTCGCCCGCAAATCCGTCCGCGTGGAATTAGCAAATACAAAACTGAGTAGCCTATGTGTTCTTCCAGACTATCCTCTACGTCTATACCAAATTTCATCGAGATTCGTTCAGCCGTTTGGGATACTAACTCTAACAAACATCCATCCATCCATCAATCTAAATTTTCGCATTTATAATATTAGTAAGATAAGATGTAAGATTAGGAAGAAGTAAGATAAACATAGCACTTGGAAATTTTACTTAAAAGAACAAATAAATATCTGCCATATGTCTTTACTTTTGACACATGAAATTATTCAATGACCAAGAATAGGTGAAAAAATATTATCAATTAAAAGAAAGTTTTGTGTTCTCAACATATTTACGATGTAAATCTCTTTTTGGTAAAATAAAATTAACGATCTCATTATATGATAAAAATAGTATGGCTACTGAACGATTAACACTATCGATTCATCTATATAAAAAAAGATTACTTAAGCTGTTTGTTTAACAAGTGTTATATTTATTAACAACTAGCTTCGCTTATTAAAACTTTCGTGAGACATTATACTATATAAATTATAACACGGCTAAACTCACGTGATAACATTCGGTGTAGGCACCGACAGTTCTAGCTGAACTAGCTTCGCGACTTCCTCCGCGTGGAATTAAAAAAAAAGAAAAGTGAGTAGCCTAAGTGTTCTTCCAGAGTATCCTCTACGGCTATGCCATATTTCATCGACATCCGTTGAGCCGTTTACGCAACAAATCCATCGAACTAAACTTTCGCATTTATAATATGAAGTAAGATAGGTACAATCAAAAGGAGAGGTGCTGATAAAACTTAAATTATACTTTAAAGTAAAACGTTTCATTGAGACGAGCGTTCGAAGTGAAACCTCCAACGATTTCACTGTCAACCATTCAATGCAAACGACGAGGTAACATTATGTGGTGGAAAACAATACATTACATCTAAGTTACGATTAAGTTAACACCAGCTTAAGCGTTTATTGTCACTTTTAAACCACTTGATATATCTGTATTCTGGGTAACAACTTCAGTTTGTTGAATTTTCAACAGAATCATAAAACAAAGGGACTTGGGAATGTTCCTTTGACTCTCGTCTCTATTGTATTTATTTAGTATGTGTGGAGTTGAAATAAAATAAAATAAAGCAGCGTATATCTTCTTCTAGAATATACTCTACATCAATGCCAGATTTCATCAAAATCCGTTCAACGGTTTTAGCTTTCGAGTTTATAATATTAGTGAGAACTAAGACTAAAGAGTCTTATGAAAGCATAATTTGATTCAACGTGACAACAAACTGTAATTCTAAAGAAAACAGCTAAGTAGAATAATAATTTAATTTAATTTAGTCAGAGTAGAGTAATTCAAAAAGGGCAGAGTTCAATACCCTTTTTAATATAGGTTTTGTTAATAATACGGCTCGGATTATTGTTATAATAATGTCATAATTGACACAAATAAACAAATGATTGTCGGTCGTCAGATTATCAGAAGTACTATACGTCAATCTAATTGCATTTTGTAATTATATAGTTACCAAAATTATAGGAATAAAGATGATTACGGCCGTCGTGGGGCCATTTTTTTTTCGTTAACCTTGATGTAGCGATTTTCAATGAAGCTGATTTTAAAATTGAATTATGAAAATTTAACGAGCTCTTATTATTGGTTTAAGAGACATGATGTAATTAAAATAATCGATTTTTAATTAGACATCAACTTTATGAAATCGATTTTTTTACTTTTGAAAGTTTCAAGGCTGTGTCTTATTAAATGCATCTTTGTTTTTTTCACGATGTAACTATTTTTTCTGTTATCGATAAATCATTTAACTAATTCGGAGTTTATGAATTTTGTAACAATTATTTACTATACAAAATCACTTCCAACTACGTATATTACGGTTATTCCGGCAGTAGTATTTTAAATAATACGCGAGAATGTACAAGAAATTAAATTGACAAATTAATTAAAGGCAACAGCGTTTATTGTTCTGAAGAATCGTTACATTGGTATTGCCATACGTTAAGAAACAGTTCATAAAAATTTTAGGGCACAATAAAATTTAATTCATACCTTTGTGAAATCTATAATATTGTGAATTGTGTATAAACCGATGTCGCAGTGGCAGTAAAATGGTGCGTTGTTAACGTAAATAACATGAATTAATTGCTGTAAATAAATAAAAACGAAACAGATACTAATATCCGCTTATTATAACAGTATTCAGTTATTTCATAAGTTAAAAGTTTTTATTATGTTATAAACATTTTTAACGATTATTTCCAATATCGTTAAAACTATATGGTGTGTTATTGTATACAGATGCTTGTATGCTTCCATCTGACTCACAGTTCGCGTGACTGATGTTGATTACGTGACGCGTGTTCACATATGTATTATTTCGACATTACTGTGATGAGGTTTTAGTAGACTGTACTAAATTTAATTTCATACCATACATCGTTTTATTTATTACAACCATAATCCAAGGGTTATGATAATAAAAACAAACGTAGGATTCATTTATGTCAAAAATATACTTAAAGCGTGCTAATTCTATAATTATTAAGTGATATTTTATTGAAGTGTAGCAACACCGTTTAACTTTTAAATCCAGTGGTCTTATCTAACATAGGTACTGAATTTAGAAGATCTAATCTCCAAGTAAGATTGACCATTTACCGGTCGTCGAAATTATGTAGGAACGTCATCGCTTCACTTAAAACGCCCGCCGCTTCACAGAAACTTAAAGCCATTTCCGAGAATTAGAACGGCACCGTTTGATTTGGGCAGGTTTTCCTAAAACGTATGCAACATCTTCCTATTTCGGATACCTCCATACCATTTGAAGTATCGATATAAAGTATTGCTGTGTAAATTACATCAATTTGCATAGATTTAAGGTGGAAAATGGTCGGCGGGCCGAGGAAATTTCACTGCAACAGTCATTTGCTACGCAGTAAATTAGCGCAATATTGATATTTCAAGTTCCGTATACCTTAGTTATAGTAAGTAATTTTTATTGTCGGTTAACTTGTTTCTTTCGCAAGCTATCAATTTGCCATTACGTTTTAGACAAAGATTAAAAAACAATTGCTAAATTTAATTTAAATTTCGAATTTAGTTATTGTAATGTGGAAAATCGTGAACCAGTTGTATTTTAATAGCTCAGTATAGGACGTAGTATTAAACTGAGATACGTTTAGCTGTAGTAGCCGCCTAATCGCAGCCCCGGGGTCAAACCGTGTAGGAGCCCGTCGTCCCACCACGTTTATTATAATAAGCTTTGGTAGCCATTATAAGATATACACATCGCCCTTTATGCCTTACCTTACTTTATATAAAATGAGAAAATAATTTTCATATTAATTTAATTATATTCTATTTTATATCTACCGTAGCTGCTGTTGCTGTACATGATTATTTTTTTAAATAACTTTTTAAAACTTGGAACCAATTTACTTACCTATTAGCGCTTGGACGTGGTAATTGGGAATAATCTCATTTGCGGTAGACAGTTTGGCGGCGGTTTTTGTACGCTGAAACAAAAGAGTGAATTATTTTTTAAAAAGGTATCGGAAACATTTTAATGAGCTACATAAGTCACAAGTGGCGGTTGTATATTATAAAAAAATCCATATGAATGGACTTGTTTGGACTTGTAACTGTTATTGACGAAAGCCGTAATAACGGTTGTTAACAAATAATAAGTTAACGTTGCGAGATGTTAATTTCGTCTGATATTACGCAATCAGTTGCTCCAGACGTCCCCAAATGTTTGTATTTCGATGGTTGCGTATTCTCAAAGGGGCAATTATTCTATAATAAAATTGCACAATCGTCTTAAATAAGTCGCATCGTGACAGTTGTACATTTCTAGATATCGAACATTGAAATTAATTACGTGATCTTTGAACTGTTTCCAAATGTTGCCGATCTATTGTCGCTGTTCAGACGCATTGTTGACTTCGTTATTGAATCATTGATTAATGTCGACAAGGGCTTTTAAATTATATTTTGCAATAGTATTTTATTTCAACTATTAAGTGGAACAAAAGTATTTCATTATAATCTGATATCGAGATAGTTAGAACCGACGGGAGAAGGAAAAGGTAGGGGAGAGTAGTATAATTAGGACCATAAGTAAAAAGACTTTTTAAAACAAACCAATTTAGCTTTTTCATCATGTTGTGAATGTTTCAATGGCAAGAATAAATACATAATTTACCTTGTTTTTGTTATCAATCATTTACATTTAAATTAAAATAAAATCGACCTTCAACAAATTCGTCTTAAAAAAATTGTAAAATAAGATTAAAAAATATGATATATGCTGTGTAGAGATTAGTTCGGTGCCGTGTGATGTATAACAAATGATGATACGCCCGTTGCCTAACAAGATTGATATTTTTATGGCAAGTGAATGAACATATGTCTCGGATTCCGAAACAAAAGGCCGGACAATTTGTGGGCTCGATTAGACGTCTGGTTATTGAAAAAATACCCATTATAACGAATAATACTAGATGAGACGGGTGTGTACGGAACATAAGGTTGTAGAACATCAACAGAAATTTATTTTTCTTCTATTGCTGTCTAGTAGTAAAAAACTAGTTACTATGTTTGTGTAATATTACCATCAGTAGTTATTATTTTAGATCTGAATTTTCGTTTACAACCTTTTAATTTTAAACTTTCTTATCCATATAATGTATTCAAGCGATTGATTTTATGTATAGTATGAAGTTAAAAAAATATATAAAGGTAATTGGTCTATTTAGTTATCGAAATTTCACCATTTTAAAGATTGAATCGTTTTTAAGAAATTATTCGTTTAAAACCTTCCTTGCTCTCCAAACGCTGCGACCGTGTGTATCCAGCGTTACATATCGCGGACAATAGGCGATGATTCCAATACGAAACTATGGGAGCCTCCTTGATTGTTAGCCGCTGGAGATTGATGCGACATTGTGTAACATTGATGTAGGTTAAGGTTGCAGTATACAAGACAATTGATACAATAAAAACCATTAATAACTATTGTAAAGAATATCGAAGTACCCTCATTATATAGCTTCTGAGGGAGCTTATGAATCAAGTTAATGCCTAACTATTACACTCAGAGACGATAAATTATTACTTAAGTTGTCTTTTAGCGGAGAATTAAATGTCTATTGGTGACCTATTAATAACTATTGTACTAATACTAATTAGAATTTAGGATACTTCAATACAATTAGTGTTTGACGTGACAAATAAAAAAAACTTAAACATGTTGCGGTTAAAAAGTAGGATTCCATATGTTAGTAATTCAAGTTACTCAAGTAACGCATGATACTGAGCTAATGTGAAATAAACTCAAATAAGTTATTGCTAAGTTAGAGATGCGGGATAATTCGACTTGTTGACCTGCACAACTTGACATCGTGTTAACCTGTCCTCAATTCATTTAACATAAGAATTCTGTAGATAAGGTTGAATTTGAGATTGTTTTAATTTTTCAATTAATAAAAAGTGGAGAGTACTCGCTAAAAAGTTGTATCAATTTATTTGCTTAAAGAAGGAAAAGGCCTATATGCTTAATCTGGTTCTGTATGAGGTCTGATTAACCGGTCTCGGTAAAACTTTCACTGATAACTAGCTATAATTACGCTCGTCTAAATATAGTTCGATTCCATTAAACACTCGTAGTCCATCAAGGTATTTCATTGAAGTAATATGAGCTTAATTTTGAACTAAAAATCGTATAGAAATTTCTGTATCGATTTTAATGCGAATAGTTTAGTTTACCAGCATTTTCGTTGTACTTCATATTTCTTTTTCGAAAGATTCTTTTTTCATGATTAAATACGAAAGATTACTTAGTCTTTATTTATTTAAATAATGTTACTTTTGGACACTTAAAAGAAGGATGTAAATGTAATCGTAGTAAAGTTGTAGTAAAAATCAATGTGGATTAAAACATGTTGGCAAAATTAAGTAATATATTAAAAATCGTAAGCAAGGCCATTGGAAACGAGTGGCTCGTTTAAACATAATATTATAGTGGTCAGATTATAGACGATAGGGGGCGCAATTACAGCGCTCGTACAGTGGTCGGGACTAAATAACAATAATTAAGTTATTGCCGTCTTGACCGCTTCAAATACCGAACGCATTTTATTTTGTTTACGATTGCATTTTTTATTAGTTAAAGCTCTTGTAAGAATTAATAGCTTTTACAAAATTTGAGACGTGAAATTTTTTAATGAAAGTATGTACATCACTACAGTTTCTTAGAAAGTTATAAGGATTTTTATGTGTTTTTATTCGACTTCTATTTACAGCAACATAAATGTCACGTATTATGTAACAAGCGAAAATCACTTTCGAATGTAATAAAAAAAATTACGGCCTGCAATTTGAGAATACGGACCCTTCGGATGGACTCGTTCGTCGTAAACGCGGCGCCCGACCGGCCATAACTGTGCGTGAGGTATTGTTTGTCGTTTTAATTGAAAGTCCCAACAAAGGTTTATAAAACTTCTTAAATATTGAACTTTTCCAATGTAAATTATATTAATAAAAATATTCAAAAGAGAATTATGTTAACTAGCTGTTGCTTGCGATTTCACCCGCGTTATATTAACATATATACAAAAACACAAATCTTTCCTCTTTGAAATATTATTAGTATAGATAAGCCAATCAACACATTTATGTAAACACTAGTTTTTGCCCGCGACTCCGTCCGCGTGGTATAAAAAAAAACAAAAGTATGTAGCCTATGTGATCTTCCAGACTATTTATTGATATCCGTTTAACCGCTTAGGCTACAAACTCCAACAAACAGCCATCCTTCGAAATATTTGCATTTATGATATTAGTAAGATTAATTTGTTTTTAATTGAACTTTTAGTCATGTTTATGGACACCCTTATTACCGTTAAGAAATCAGTTAACCAAGTACTAATAAATACATTAATTTGCGTTAACATGGTAAACGCGCGTGTCTTTGCCTACTTCAACTGACTGGTTAGGGAGCTTGGTATTTAACAGCTTTTTACTAAACACGTGTTTGATTGATGTATCGCACGAAAACACTAATGAGTGTTAATTGAATACTACATTATTTTTAAAACTTCCAAATGTGGTAAAAGACTTAAGTTGTCCTTAGAAGTTTCATTACTACCTTTTTGTTTGTTACGCATGCTGCAGAAGTAAACAATTATCCTAAGATTTGTTGTGGTTCTTTAATTGAGGAATTGGAAAAATACACTTTTCTTGGAAAAATACAATAGATTCCGTCCGCGTGGAATTAAAAAAAAATAAGTAGCCTATGTGTTCTTCCAGACTACCGTCTACATCCATACCAAATTTCATCGAATCCCGTTCAGCCTTTTAGGCTACAAAGTCTAACAAACATAATCCATCTATACATCTAAACTTTCGCATTTGTAATATTAGTATGAAGTATGATAAAGAAAATATCCTATTTTTGCAAATGCTTTTAAGTGTGATGAATAATTTAAGTCGTCAATAACGGAGAAAATACTAGATTATTTTTTATTATAGCATTTTATTTAGTAACGTGTTATTCAAATTATCCAGATACAGGCCAAACAAGTGATATGTCACTGATAGACATCTCTTAAAATACAGGAAAATTAAATACTAAATGTAACAAGATTGAAATAAAATTATAACGTTAGCGCTATTCGCGTGTGTATTTATTTATGTATGTGAATGAGGCATCGAAACATCAAATAAGTATACTAGTGTGGGAACAAACAGGTTTTTGAATAAAAATTCTATTCTGCCAGTCCGTTTTGACATTAATGACAAACTGAACAGGCTAATACAGTTTTAATGAGAGCAATGATACGATAATTTACTTAGAGAAAGTATAATAAGCCTTGACGTATTATTACTAAGAAAACATTTTAATCGTTATGTCTCGGGATATCAATTTTATGATTATCGTAAAGCGAATTTGCAAATGATGAAAAAGTTTTTTATTGCAAAATGTATACAAAGGTCCTATGTAGGTTTAAATTAACGAAATATGTTAATTCATCAGAATAAGTCCCGCACGTCACATTTCATGGAAACTGCATTAGTCAGTCCAATTAAAACGCTTTTCCGTATGCGTTGGGTACAAGGAAGTGTTAAAAGGCGTCTTGCGAACGTCGTTCCAGGTGTCAACAACATTTTTCATTTTAAATGTACGATTTATTTAAGACTGTCTCTTAATTTATATCTAGATCTTCGTTAGATATAGCAGCAATAACAGCAAGGTTAGCGAGAAATATTTTGACGTGAAAATTAGGACGTTTTAACAAATCACGCTTGCATAATCTTTAAGAATTATATTCGTCTTTTTTGTGACACAGAAAAAAATACAAAGTTGACATTTGCGGGTACCAGCTGGTACGTAAATACGTGATTATTACACAGTAGCATTAAGCGACGATGTAAAAAAGTAGTTCGTCGTCTGTCCGGTGTAATTTTTGTTCTCGCTGCCCGTGTGACAAATTTAATGGGCGTCATATAACGTGGT